AATTTATTGTATTTTTACAGAAATTATTTTTAATAAATTTAAAATTGTAATTCTACATTATTAACGGTTGACAAGCTTATTATTTACGTCACCTACGTTTTTCTACGTTACGGTTGACGACCGGAATTCATATTGACAATAATTTACAGTATTTTTCCAGGAATTACTTATTTACGGTACCTGTGATTTTACATTACGGTTGACGAACGACATTTAACATTGACAGTAATTTACCGTATTATTAAGGAATTAATTATTCACCGTACTGTGATACTACATTACGGTTGACGACCGGCATTGAGATTGACAGTAATTTTCCGTATTTTGACAGGGAATAATTATGAATGGTAAACGTGATTCTACATTACGGTTGACGACTGGCGTCCTGATTGCCAGTATTTTGACGGTATTTTTACAGGAATAAATTAATAACGGTCCTGTGATTCTACATTACGGTTGACGACTGGCGTCCTGATTGCCAGTATTTTGACGGTATTTTTACAGGAATAAATTAATAACGGTACCTGTGATTTTACATTACGTTTGACTACCGTATTTCGATCAATAGTAATTTACCGTATTTTTACAGAAATTTATTTTTAACGGTAAATGTAATTTTACATTACGGTAAAGTACTGGCGTCCTGGTTGCCAGTATTTTGACGGTATTTTTACAGGAAAAAATTAAAAACGGTACCTGTGATTTTACATTACGTTTGACTACCGTATTTCGATCAACAGTAATTTACCGTATTTTTACAGAAATTTATATTTAACGGAAATGTAATTTTACATTACGGTAAAGTACTGGCGTCCTGATTGCCAGTACTTTGACGGTATTTTTACAGGAAAATTTTTGACAGTGCAGGAAGTTTCCCGTTGTTGTTTTCACCTGACACTGTACCGAATTTATTTTCATCGTTAAAAAATTGTCAGATCAATTACGAATTCTTCGTACTCTTTAGTTAAATCAATCATTATTTCTTTTTCTTTTTTTTTTTAGTTAATAACTGCAAAGTCGTTGTTGTTTAAACAGGCCACTTTAAAGTATACAGACAAAATTGGTAAACTGAGTAAATTTAGTCGGAAGCAGGTCGGTAGTAAATGTGTCGAATGAAGCTCTCAATTTTTTCAGCTAGTTTATATACAGTTCTTATGAATACTTTTAATGATCATTAAAACAATCATTTTCTTCTTCGGGTTAGATTCCATTACCATTTTCATCTGACTCTGAACCGTTCATCTATATTGTAAAGTTCACCATCATAGTTCCTATCGGTATTGTATACACCATTTGACGCCTGACAAAGAAACATCCTGGAGAAAGTGTTGTCTGTATACACATAATTCATACATATCATCCTTGACAAAATGTGTTGTATAGATAAAAAGTTGCTATTAGGCTTAACATTAACCCAAAAGAAACGTTTATTAGAGGAATCTCTGCTATCGGTTTGTGTTGAGTATACGATTGATCGAAATTGTTCTGAAAAAAATAAAATAAGTATAATGTAGTAAAACAAATTGAATTTTTAAGTTAATAATCGAAAATTATATATATAGACATGAATTAAATGCTTTTATCAATGATTGCAAACACAAAAAAGTGACTTACCCAACCTTTGATATTAATCCATTCCAAAAATTCCGTCTTCACGTATTTGTCTACACTCTGTATTACTTGATCAATCAAATCAGATTTATTTCTATCTTTACATAACACAGCTAACCTCGCTCCAAACACAAAAACCATCATTATACGGCCCCAGTTTATGACATTATCGTTGAACATTTCTGTTAAAATGTCTTTGAAAAACGTCTCGATATTCTCATATTCTCTGTATATTTTATGTCATTGACTAGTTTATATGCCACAAACGCTGAATTTATTTCTCGTGCAATTCGTTCAGATTCCATGCTCATGTTTCTTACTTCTTCATTTTCAAAATTCAGACTGCTTCCTTGTTCTTCAAAGTTATTGCCAAATGTTTCTTACTTTTTCATTTTCAAAATTCAGACTGCTTCCTTGTTCTTCAAAGTTATTGCCAAACAAATCCATCTTGGTAAGAGAATTGTAACAACGTACAGGTTTTTTTTTTTTTTTTTTTTTTTTTTTTAATGATGTTTCAACTATGTTTTCACCAGAATATAAGCACTATCTTTTGTTTTATTTCATTTATTTTCTATGTGTTATATAATTTAAGTGAATGAACTTGAATATATGACGTCATAAGCCTATTCACATTAATGCGGGAAATTCAAACCAAAAAGCCACCACGTTTTAAGTCTCTGAAATCTCTCATCCAATAGAAATTCATGCTTGTCAAGATGTATCCCTACGCCACAAAC